ACTTTAAATTTAAATTTTTTAAATATCAAAAAGAAAAAAAGGTCAACCCAATATCTCTAGCACCACAAAAAATGTTTTGTCAGACAATAAACATCAAGAGAATTCACTATCAGTAGATCTGCTTTGCAAGAAGTTATTTGAACTGGGGAGGAGGCACATGCCTGTAATCCCAGCAGCTTGGAAGGAAGAGGCAGGATGATTGTGATATAAATCAAAGGCAACCCGAGCAATTTAGCAAGGCCCTAAGTAACTTATTGAGAAAGTTTCCCAAAATAATAATAAAAAAAAAAAAGGGCTACGGATGTGGCTCAGTGGTTAAGTGCCCTTGGGTTCAGTCCTTAGTATCAAAAAAAAAAAATGTTTTTTATCATAAAGCAAATATTTGATCTACATAAAGGAAGAATATCAGAATAAATGCAGGTAAAATATATCTTTAAATTTAATTGAGCTATAAGGTATCTACTGCAAATTATAGTAGTAACAATGTACAGGGCAATTATTGCTTAAGATTAAGTGAAATGAAGATCAGTAGTGTCACAAAAAGAAGGGATGGAAGAACTAAGAATGTTACATTACATTGTACCCACATTACATATCATGTAGAGCAAGAGTGTTACTTGATTATGTACTTAGATAAGTGTAAATATACATAGTAAAATGTATAGAGTAAGAATAAAGAAAAATGTTTAGAGGAAGTATAATATGTGGAGAGAAATAAATAGAATTATAAAACAATTAAAACGAGAGAAGGCATAAAATGAAAGGAGAAATAAGAACAAGTATAATAAACAGAAAAGTTAATGAACATGGCAAATATTCATCCAACTCTATTAATCATCATTTGAAGTATGATTTATTTACACGGATTAAAATCAGATCAACAGCTAGAAGCCAGTTATGCTCCTCCAGAAGCACATGAGTTTTCTACATTCAACTACTCGCTTAAAATAGGATGACAGTCAGATGCCAGGGTGCATGCCTGGAATCCCAGCTGCTAGGGAGGCTGAGGCAGGAGGATCCCAAGTTTAAAGCCAGCCTTAGCAACTTAACAAGTCCCTAAGCAACTTAGCAGTTTCTAAGCAACTTAGTGAGAGCCTGTCTCAAAGTTCAAAATAATAATAATAATAAAGGCTCAGGATGTGGCTCAGTGGTTAAGCACCCCTGGGTTCAATACTTGGTACCAAAAAAATAAGATGATGATGATGATGATGATAACCCAGAAACTGAAACATTTAAATAGAAGACCAACTTAAACAGGAATATGGGAAATAGATGAATTTAAAATAAGCCAGCTAGGGGCTGAGATTGTGGCTCAGTGGTAGCGCGCTTGCCTGGCATGCGTGCAGCCCGGGTTCGATCCTCAGCACCACATACAAACAAAGATGTTGTGTCCGCCGAAAACTGAAAAATAAATATTAAAATTCTCTCTCTCTTTAAAAAAAATAAATAAAATAAAGACAATAAAGACCATCAACAACTAAAAAAATATTATAAATAAATAAAAATAATAAAATAAGCCAGTATAAACTGAAATCTTTAATTATCCTTTGGGTCTGGGGATAAGGTTCAGTGATAGAAAACTTTTCATGCCAGCATGTGTGAGGTCCTGGGTTTGATTCCCAGCACTGTGTAACTACTTATTTATTTAGTATTTAATTATTTAATATACATTGTTACACACAAAAAAAAACTGTTACTTATAATACTGACACTTTACCTGGCATAATAAAGTTCTTGGAACATGCACAGCTCACTCAATCACCTGGCTGGTTCTTTACTTAGAAGAATTCAAAATTAAAGATTTTTGTTACTTCTCACTGTTTCTCAATAAGCATTTCAAAACACAAAACAACATACAGAAATAAAAGTAATATTTCATAAGTAATCAAAAGATCATTTTCTTAAGTTTGGGAAAGGTGCAAAAATTACATGGAACAGCCGAGTGCACACTAGTAATCCTAATGGGTTGGAAAGCTGAGACAGGAAGATTGAGAGTTCAAACCTGGCCTCAGCAACTTAGAAAGACCCTGTATCTAAATAAAATATGTAAAAAGGCTGGGGATATGGCTCAGCGGTTGAGGGCCCCAGGGTTCAATCTTCAGTACAAAAAAAAAAAAGAAAAACATGAAACATCCAAAGTATACACCTAAATATAAAAGATGGTACTGCCCGGAAACTGCTGGAAAACATTTAGCCGCCTTCAACAAAGTTCCAATCTAAAAATGAAATGAATTCTTTCTCACTATGGTATATAGCCAAAAGAAGAAATACCAACAAAACTGAAGACTTGGGTTCAAGTATAAATTTGCCACCTAACTAGCTTTGTGACAATGTGGCACATCCATTCATTCATCATTTTTGAGAGATTATGCATCAGACACAGCAGTGAATATCAAAAATCCCTGTCCTTATGTATGACACATTCTAAATCACTAAATCTCTAAAAACAACTGTTTTCTTTCTTAGCTAAAATAATGAATTTTATATTTAAGCATTTCAATTCTTTAAAAAAAATCTGCTATTGCTCTTCTGAATCCAGGAAAGTAAATTTATTTAATCATATAACCTGAAATCCACTCTTGCCACTAGCTAAAACCATGTGTTATCATATTCAGACAGCAAACAGAGGAAGTAACTATTAGTATATCTTTCAATCTAAATAAAATATGAAGCTTACTGGCCTATTATTTCATAATTAAACTTTCTTGGATGGGTTCAAAGAAAGAACAATTTTATGAGAAATTCCATATAATGAATAAGTTTACACACACTTCCAGTATTTAAGTCTATTAAAAATACAGATTATTATTGAATCAAGTAGTCAGTTTATCTTCTCTTCAGAGTAGTTATGTTTTCAAAGTGCTTGCTGCAAAACATGTAGTCAGAAAAGCCCAGTTCTGTATTCACATATGGTTCTTGTGCCTAACAAATTTTCTTTCACATGGATATGTATTTTCCCCACAATAAAATGGGCAAGGCCAGGCGCAGTGGCACACACCTGTAATATCAGAAGCTCAGGAAGCTGAGGAAGGAGGATCTCTAGTTCAAAGCCAGCCTCAGCAAAAGTGAGGCACTAAGCAACTCAGTGAGACCCTGCCTCTAAATAAAATACAAAAAAGGGCTGGGGATGTGGCTCAGTGGTTGAGTGTCCCTAAGTTCAATCTTTAGTACCAAAAATTTAAAAAAGGGCATGACAGTCCCTTAGCTCCTAAATGTTAAGTTTTTTAAAATATCTTCTGTGTTCATTTTTGCCAGATAAAACTCTAGAATCACAAATTATATTTCTGATAAGAGTAAAACAGCATTTGCATTAAATATTCTTTCTCCCACAGGCACCAACAGACACCAAAAGTAATCTGACATGGTCAAGCCTGTAATTTCTAATCTAAGTGTCATTCCCAAATGAGAAACTGAATTAACATATCTACCAAAAAAAAATATTTCAACAAAAGAGAGCTCTCCATTTATTTCCAAATAATAAATATATTCAAAATTTGTCAAAGCAGGTCAATTCCACCCAACTCCAAAATTGTATGAGCAGTAGTTCCTCCCAATTGTGCTAGTTGTTGTATTTGTGCTTCTTTTTCAAGTTGTCTTTAAGAATATGAGGTCCAGGTTGGGGTTGCAGCTCAGTGGTAGAGCACTTGCCTAGCATGTGTGAGGCACTGGGTTCGATTCTCAGCACCACAGGTAAATAAATAAATAAAATAAAGGTCCATCAACATCTAAAAAATTCATATATTATAAAAAAAAGAATGAGGACCACCATCAACCACAATAAATGCAAATGAAGTAAAAGCATAGAAACTGCTAGCAAGATGATACACAGAAATGGACAGTGGTAGAATCATGTGCTCTCTTTAGCAGCATTTATACTACAAAGGGATGGAACACCTTACATAAATGTATCTAAAATATTTAAAACACATGCAATACAAACAACTAATGTTTTGTGCATAAGTGTGTAATAATACTATCATCTGATTTCTACTGTAATCTGAACTAGATTCCTAACTCAGCTATATCAGATACCAAATTACAAAAGGAAACCTTATTACACCAGCTATATTTTAAAAGTCTCATATTGCGTATTGTTTACTTGATTTATATTTTTAAATCAAATAAATGACAAGACTGATAAAACAAGTGATGTAGAACTTAGAGAAATAATTATATTAATCATCCAGCTCTGGGGCTGGGGATGTGGCTCAAGCGGTAGCGCGCTCGCCTGGCATGCGTGCGGCCCGGGTTCGATCCTCAGCACCACATACAAACAAAGATGTTGTGTCCGCCGAGAACTAAAATAAATAAATAAATAAATATTAAAAATTCTCTCTCTCTCTCCTCTCTCACTCTCTCTTAAAAAAAAAAAAATCATCCAGCTCTCTAGGCTGTACACTTTTTAACTAGAACCCTGTATGCTACCATGTAAGGCATAACATAAAAAGGTCAAGCTTTGGAACCAGGAAGATATGGATTTGAACACCAGTGTACCACATCTTGGACATGAACTTTCTGATCTCACTTTTTCATCTCTAAAGTGGGAATATTAATTACCTACCTTTAAGGTTTGCAATAATGATCAGTGGGAAAAAATACATATGTAAAGTACTCGGCATGAGATACTTAAGAAATATCAACTATTAATATTTTATTACTTATAAGCACCCATGAAAAGAGAGGATATAAGAAAGGACATGACAGGAAGATGCTCAGAATCTTGGTTACATTTAACTACTAAAAAACAAAAACACCTTTAATATTTCAAGTTAAACTTCGGGCTCAATTTTCTGTTCATACTTTATTTGTGTATATGGTGATATTATAGCTGCTTCTTAAATAAAGAAATTCCAAAAATAACTACCAGTCTACTTATTTTGGAGTAAATAAAAATGAAAGATTACTCTCACATAACAGATAATTTTATGAACAGATGAGATGGTTTTACCATTTAAAAAATTCCAAAACTAAATTACAAAAGGATAGTAAAAGATTCCTACCTTTAAACCGACTGCTATAAGATCTGTAACAACACTGTATGGAAAAAGTAAAAAGAGAAAATGGAAAACAAAGTTAGAGAACAAGTTTTTTAAAAAGACAGAGATAATAAGGTTAAAGAAAAAAAGAAAAAGCACTTAACAAATAACAAAAATAAAAATGTAATGAGTTGTGAAATGTTAATAAAAACAAAAATGATGGAATGTCTAATAACAGCAGAGTGTAAAAGCAAAGCCTCAATAGCAAAGTAAGAAATTTAAAATTATCTTTTAGTACTATACTGATGTATCAAAACAATGTGTTAAAATTTATTCATTTACCTCTGTTTAATAAATTCATACCAAAATTTAAAATCACCAAAGTTCATTCCTTTGAATCACTGGTATGAATGATTACATCTAAAGTTTCAAATAAAACAAAACCAGTGCTTGTGTTTTATAGACTTAGAAATGCATTTACACCAAAACCTGCTCACCAAAATACAGTTAAGACAATCTCTCAGAACTAAAATAGGTACAAACATCAAATTTCAGACATCAAAATTTAAAAAAAAAAAAATGCTTTAAAAAAAAATTCTGCCATGTCAAAATAATGCAAGTATAAAATCATTCTCTTAGGAAGAAATGAAAACACACACACACACCAGTGGGATATGAAGAGATACTAGAAAGATAATTTTGATTAGTGGTCTGTTGTTTGTTTTTCTAACAAAATAAAGGAAAAGAAGCTTTTTCGGGCTGTGAGAAAATGAAGAAATTTAATTAGCTTCCTTAGGGCACATTCTCCCCTTAAGACCAAGATGTAAAAATTCCTATAAAGTCTTGCTGTACAAAAAATTAATTCTTCTACATCTTCAATGAATAGGCTCCATATTTCCTAAAACAAACCTACAAATAAGTCCTATATACCATTTAATAACTTATAATGTCATCATTACTACATGTAAATAAATGTATGGATCTGGATCGTTAAGTAACATTAATCTGATTGTTTTAAACAGTAAGCTTGTAGATTTCATCTTCCCTTGTAGACTTCTGAAACTTGAAATCCATTTTTCTAAAATTTAAACATGACAACTAATGTTTTGTGCATAAGTGTGTAATAATACTATCATTACTGATGCAAAGAGCAAATGATATTCTTCCCAAATGAACTTACCTTCTGTATCATTACCCTGGATATTTAAGCCAATAAACTCATTCTTAGCTTTAAAACCACAAATAATGCAAAGGGAGAGTTAACACTATCAAAGAGTAACTTTGCACTTCACAGCTATCAAAGAGTTTAAGAGCCAAGACACACAATTCAAGAGTCCTCTTTATTTTTACTATAAATTTTAAGACTCAAAAAGCTAGCCTGCTTCTATATATGAAGTAAAACCTTTTAAGGACAATTCACATACTGAAATACTAATTTTACAGGCTTCCTGAACTAAAATACTGGCACAATGACATAAATCATTAGAGTAGCAAACTTTGCACATATATAAAATGTAACAATAAGATAATGTGAAACAAGTCTTCAATAATGCCCAGAGAAGCTCCAATTAAACAAAATAGCTTCAATTAAATAAAAATAATACTTTAAAGAACAACACAACCATAAATAAAATCTAAAATTGCACTTTATCATCTGCTGAAGTATGAAATCTGCATTCAAATAAATTAATCCATTTATCACACTTAATATTGCAAACCTAAGATAAATGAAATCTAATGAGGACAAAAATGTTTGGAAGATTCTCGTGTCTTCACAGATTGCAACAATCATCAACTATATGGCAACATGTAAAATGGCTTTTACTTTTCCAGCAAGTTGTATATATTCCACAACCAGGAAGCTTACAGAAACCTTGTCATAAACTTCACTGCATTAATGGGGATAAATAAATAAGATTTGGAATCCCCAACAGAGTTTGGAATTTAAAAAAAAACTTGTTGTAGACATAATATGACCTTCGATTACTAATTCACCAAGATCCTTCAATTAACGCTTTAATCAATAAAATATATCTGATCCCACCCTATATCCCTGAGTTCCCAGAGAAATATTTATTGGGTACAGGCGATTCTAAATCTTTTCGTTTTGATCACGAACCCCATTTAGTTTCTGAGCATTTGAAAACTCCCTGAAAATTGCACTTACACAATTTCTTACACACATGGCAGCGAATTCACGAAGTTTCGAGGGCGTAGAGGGAGAAGGGGAAGCGTCCATGGTCACTAAGTCTAGACGTGTGGTACACAGAAATCGTTCACAAGTCTCGCAGCGCAAGTCGGAAGACCTCGGCCGGCCCCCGGGCAGCCGCGCGGGGCCGCGGTTCGGGACCCGGTTACCGCCCAGACGTGTACCGACGCGCACCCTGGCCGTCCGCCACCCGGCGGCCACTCGCCTTGCCGCCGGGGAGAGCCCCACGGCTCCACCCCGCCGGTAAACAGCAACTCTCCGAGCGGAGGACGCCCGCCCGCCTCGAGCGCCGCCTCCGCCTCCCCCAGCGCCGCGCACCATTTTCTGAGAGGAAGTGTCGGGAGGCCGGCTGGGCTCCCCAGACTCTGGGCGCCGAGGGCGGACCCAGGCACGGACTCCGAGCCGGGCTCTCCTCGGTTTCCCGCTTTGCGCTGTTGGGGTGCG